GTATATCTGAGATAAAGAAAATCATCTTTGGTTTGCCAAGAAATTCCATATTTTTTAGAATTGTGCTAAGCTAGATTATTTTTAATATATTTCCATGTAGTTGCAAAAAATATAGTTCCAGACCAAGCATAGGCTATTCGATCAATATGAGCTATAGTTTTAGATTTCTATGCTTCTAAAAGCATGCATGAAAAAAAAAATATAATGTATCTCCATAAAAAGTATCATCATTATATTTTTTTAGAATGTTCAAAAAATCGCTAATTTAAGATTTTGAATTAATATTAAAGAAATCAAAGCTAAGAAATTTATATGATTGACAAAAATAATATACCTCTTAAGATACGTGATGAATAAAACTGTTCAGCAAGTTCATCAGATTGTTTGTCTTTGGGATTTAATATATCAGTAGTGAGCCTGAACTTTCCTCCATAGATATTATATAATTGCCAAAGATGTTCAGTTGACATTACATAATTGCCAATTGGTACAATATGTGTACCAGAATTATGCATATTACATCCTAAATAAAAGAATATTAACTAATATTAGACATCTACATACCTCTAATTAATTATAAAAAAATTTTTAACAAGTTGTTAATTTCAAAAAGTATAAGTTTAATAATAAAAAAGATTTGCTTTATTAATCATTATCTAATTTGTCTAGAGATACATTATATTAAAATACTAACCTTTTTTTATATAATGATAAAAATCTGTTCTACTTAAAAGTGGTAATTTATTTTCAAATAAGTGTAGGTCGAGAGGAAACTTTTTTAAAAGGATTGATTCTGATTCCTTTACAGATATATATTTAAAAAAGTATTTAGATTTTATATATTTGTAATAATAGAATATTATAAATAATAAAATACCTTAATTAATCCTAACTTATTTTGAAATTCGTAATTAGTAAAATATGTTCTACCTAACCAATTCCAATTATGAGGAGCACTATCAAAATATAATCTAACTAATTTTGCTCTGACATGATTTAAATACTTAACAACTAAGTTATTTTCTTCAATTATATTTACTAAAGTTTCTTTTTGGTCTAACAGAAGTACTGCAATTACGAGTGGTGGTATTCCTAATATAATTGCTAAAATTGT